AACAACATTTGTTAATTTCAAATTAAGAGAAATACACTGGTGCAAAGACAAAATTGTTGATATATCTTTTTAGTACAGACATAGTTCTAAAAAACCCAGATAAATTTTAATCTTCATTTTGGCAATAAAAAGACTTTTAGATGGGGTCAAATCGACCTAAGACAATAACGTAAATTACAAAGGAAAATACCCTACCTATATAACTTATTGAATATTTTTGTTATCGTGCATGGTTGAGTTCTGATTTTTAAAAAAAAAATAATACTCCAATGTTTTGTTTGCTTAAAAACACCGACTTTTCCCCAAAATAATGACTTTATTTTTTTTCATAAAAGTCAGGCTGCATGTGGACGGATTATATGAGAAAAGGTGTTAAGTTTTTAATTGAGCTTGAAACATATTCCCTGCCACATTAAAATACTACTGTCGGTAGAAGTGTATTCTAAAATTCTATTGTTTAATGACTGTTTTATGTTAGTTTTAAGACTGATTTTCTTGTGGTACAATACAAATATTAAGTACGTATTAGTTAAATACTGAAAATACTCACTAAGAATTTTATGTCGGGAAAAAGGGGGGTGGGTAATTATACTGAATGGCAAACATATATTTAGGTACGTGAAGGAAGGAATTTTCCTTCTCTAATGATAGACTATTTTAAACAGTTGGTCTTTTCTAAAATTTAAAATCAATTTGTGTATTCTTGTCCTGTAAAAGACTTGGACTAATTATTATACATTCATTTAGGATTTATCGTCCTTAACATTGCAACACATTGTTGCCGTGCGTGAAGCATTTGTACACTGCCATTTTTCAAATTTAGTATTTTAGCATCGTTCTACATACATGTACATGTAGGTACTTATTGTCTTATTTTACAGGGAAATTTCATGAATACAGTAACAACTGAATTATAATAATAGAAATATAGATATCATAGATAATTTTTGCAATGAAATAATTATTCTTCAAACACGATATATAATTTATTTAATTAATAAACGTGTAAATCCTTATACCATCAAAAAGATAAGTCCTTCACTTCGGAGTTCCGAATGACGATGAAGACTGTTCTTAAATACAATTAGAGTATTTCCAATCTGAATTTTGACTTTGGGCTTTACTCCATAATTATATAGTCCTAAGGCCTGATATTCGGCTATTTTGCAGAAATTTCTCAACGCATTTACATCGAAAAAATGTGATTTTAGTTTAGCGACCTCTTTTATTCATTTTTTCATGCAATTTTTTTACTTTCACAATCTTAAAGACTGTCCTTTTGTTTGAATAGCCTTCATACATGACAAAATAACCCTTGAAAACGTCTACAAGGTTTCTTACAAAATTTTCAATATTAACCAGTTATTTCCTGTGTACAAAAGGACAAGAAGAATTTGTCATTATTAAAATACTACGCCTGTAATCGTTTGAGTGATTTGTTGAATTCTGACAAAGGAAAAATTTAACAATATTTTCTGTCAGATTAACCTATGAGAAAACATGCCAATAGTCTATTTATAGTCTACAAAATTAATGCTTATGTAAAATACAATATATAAAAAACTTGCTTGAAAAATGACAAAATATCTGTGCACTTTTTAAAAAATAAGATTAAAGATTAAAAAATGAGGAATAAAAGAAAAATGTGTCATATTATGATAAAGAAGAGCAAAGGGTCCAAACATGTTTGATTAGAATTCGTGTTTTTAAAGAAACTCATTAAACATGTACAAACATCCAAATTGAGAAAAAGGAGTTGCTACTTCTTTGTTCAGATTGCACTAAGGAAATTGAAAAAGATTTCCTGCAATGGAAGTCCAAATATTGCTAACTGGGGTAATTTTCCTGGGTGTGACGATGCACCTGCAGGTATGTAATGAAAAATGATATTCATCAGTGTCTTCAGTGCATAGCTAAAGATGAGTATGCTGAGGTTTTCTTTGCATTCAAAGACATAAGACATGTGTAACAGGGAATGCCTTGAGGGATTTAAACTATCAAGAGTTTGTATTTAGTCCTTCTTTTATTTTAGATGACATTTTGCTTTATTAATGTAACTACCCTCCTAGCGATTATGACAAACATCCTTTTAATTGAACTTCTGATAAATGAAACAACATTCAAAGCAAAATATCGTAATTTAATTTCTTTTTGTGAATTGTCTTTTTCTAGGCAACTTTTTTAACTATGAGTAGAATTACGATACGTATCTTGTTAAATCAATAAAATCTGTTTTTTTTTTTTTTACAAATATTGATTTCGATTTTCTTTTGCCTGTTGCTTTAAAAGTGATATACTAATAGTTCATCCGAAGAAAATTTACATGGTTCCTTTAATTTGTTAAAATAGATTATTCTCTCAAAATAATGTTTTTAATGCTAAAGTAAGGTATGTGTCAGATGCTAAATTTTTAAACAATTATATTTGTTTTTCTTGAAAAAATTCTAAAGAAATACCATTCCAGACTTTAACATGGGAATATATGTTTTGCACATGGGTGCTTCAAAATCGATATCAATATCAGTATTATTTCAGTTTAAAAAGCAATGTTTCATTACAATTTATAATATGGATTACAATATATATCGCTATAAATTGTTTTCACATATTTTTTGTCTTATTTTTTATTCAATGATTCCATAATAAATTATTGATATTTAATTCACTGTCTCAATTTGTTTTGATATCATAATTAGTCAAAATGTTCTCTATTGAAACTATAAACAACGCGTTCTTTTTCAAACTTTTTTTCCATTTGAATGTCATGTTATTGTTGTGTATGAATATCAGAATCGTAAATTAAAATTAAATTGTTAAGAAATCTATACGAAAGGGATATTTTACCTTTACACCTTAAAATAAAATGAACATTCCATGTATACATATAGTACAGAAACCTATGGACATTTTTATGTAGTCTTTTTTTTAATTTTGAAATCAGAGCAACAAATAGATTCATTCTCTGCCAGAGGATATAAATTATATTTGTAACAAAAATGATTGCTTGGATGACACTAATGGCATACTGAGTATGTCTTCCAAATTGATCCAACAGACAAGGAAGAGACCCAACAAGTTTGAAAAAGGTATGTACACTTAATTCCATAATAATAAGGAAACACGGCACGTCGATAATATTTATGAAGGAAACAGAAATACATGCCGAAGAGAGATCGATTATCAAATTGAACGTTTTTTTTTTTTATTTAAAATTCGCAAGCATAGTATTTTATGTATAATCCCGAATATCTAAAAAACTTGTACAGTGAAAACTGTCAAATCTAACATATGTACCCCCGTTTCATTGTGAATTCTGACCTTTATTTTAATATCGCAATTTCGCATTCTTTACCAGAGTCTAATCCGACAAACCTTTCAAGCATGATTTATTTAATATTTAAAATGTTATGTCTAATAACCGAGAAACGTGAACACTTTGATTTATGTGCCCGGCGAGGTCTATTATAAATGATCGTGCAAGCCAACCAAAAAGCCCTAATTTGAGCAAATAATCAGTATTGTATTAGAAACTGAAAATTAGCACATACTAGTACCTTGATTAAGAGGATCCTTTCATTTAAAACTTTATATTTCATTTTACTAATGATGACGATCTCACTATGGAGCAAATATTTTATTTATGACGGATCCATGATTTTTCAACTGATTATATAGCTATCACGCTGGTCAATTTAACTCTGGTGGAGCTGCCACGTAAAATGTTTTTGGGGAACCCTGAAATCGATTCATCAAAAGATAAAAATACACAAGGCAAGCACTCCGTTTATTGTAGGGGTATTTTGAACAATGTGAGCATACTCAATCATCAATTTCTTCGGACAATTAACTGCCAAAATATTTTTTTTTTAAATTTGATACTTAATTGTAGACATGTTTAATAAAAAAAACTTTGAAAAAATTAAAACAGACATGTTTCGAATTCGAAATATATTCTTTTATAACTTCTTATTCATTAAACAGACGCAACAGCTATACGAGGGTGGTTCGAAAAGTTTTTGCACGGTGTTAAACTTCCTTATATTAATCATTAGAAATTTCCTTTCAACGAAGCAAAATAGTAAGCCATAATTTGGAATACAAATCGTTGTAACAATTCCAAATTCAAATTTCTAGGTTGTTTTACGTTTTTGCTGCATTTTACAGAGAATATAACTACATACTTTTTTTGGGGTATTTTTTGTAACTAAATTTTGACCTGCTTCGCGACCCGATTTGTCCATTTTTAAAATCTGGATGAGCTTTGAATAAATCGTGATATTTAAAAAAAATTAATACAAATACTTTGAATTATTAAAATATTTCTACCAAATTTGAAAAACATATGACGTCAAATAAAAGAAGATATGAAGGATGTCAACGAACTTTTCGAACAACCCTCGTAGTTTTAAGATATCTTAGATTCCTCTTGGTTTGCTGTAATACCGAACGGATATATTCAAATTAAATATTTAATTTCTGCATGATGAAAAGACAAACAATTGAAAGGTTTGTCTTAATTAATTTTTCAATAAATTTTTTTTGTATTCTTCAAAATGGTTTCGGAGCGTTTTTGCTACAGTACGAATGTATGGGAGACATCATTACTGAGGTGAGGGCTTGTCCCGGGATATAGACTGTCCTAAGTAAAAACCATAGATCAGGTTTGGTTTTTTATATAGCTGTTTATAACGATGTAAATCATGCATGTTTGTATGATGACATTCATAGACCTCTCCCTTTGTAAGACAGAGTGTCTTTTGCAAGACGTTCCATTCTTAAACAAGTACATGTATATTACTGATATGTACTCTTTTTTTTAAAGAGGATGATATCCTTTAGAGAAAATGGGAACCCAGTAGTGGTATCAGTTATGCGATACTATTGTAATCCTTGTTATTCTTGCGATTTGATGTTGGAAAGCTCATTTGCCATAATGATTAGTCACGAAAAAAAAATCTACAATAATGCATAAATGAACTCACAAAAGAGTATTTAAAACATTTGAACTTTATTATCACTTTTATTGAATTTGATTAAAATTCATGTTTCTTCTTAAACCTGAGTTGATTCAAAATTTTTTTTTCGTTTCTTGGTTTATGATTATGATTAACTGTTTCCTTGTTTTGTTACAGTTGAAGTAAGTACTGGCTCAGTTTCCTATAAAACACGGAAACTCATGTAATATTCATCCAAACATATGCACCTCAAAAGCAAGAACGTATTTTAAATGTAATTTATTTCATAAAATTTGTATATCTTGTACAATCCTCAGAGGTTTGAAATATGATTCTGAAAATCGGAAGGGGATTTTCGCGAGTGACTTTTAATATTTTTCAATTCATAGTAATATTGTTGTTTTTGTCTTATAGTGAATTGTCTCCGAGATGTGAACGGTAAGTATACAATGCTTTTATCATCATGTTAAACATGAAATAGATCTGCCAATCATGGTAGACAAGCGATCGTCTTTCGCCAAGAGCTCGGCATTAAAAGTGAAAGTAACGGGTCTTTCGGATATGACCTTAAAAACGAAGGCCCCCTGTCACGGTAGGCGTTGGCACGATAAAGAATCCTCGCTGCTCGATGACCGTAAATGCCGAAGACAGTTCTAAATTTGAAACCCTTCACCTGCATGTATGTTGATGTCTCTATAGGAGTGAAAAAATTCTCAAATGGGACGTTAAACAATATACACAGTAAAACTCGGTTATAACGAAGTCACTGAGACCTCTGAAATAACATCGCTATATCCGTAATTCGTTATATCCGTATCAGGAATTCGTTAAATAAACATAGTTGGGGATCCAAGATAAGTTCGTTATATCCGTGAATTCGCAATATCTGTGTTCATACTAAACGAGTTTTACTGTACCAGCAAAACGATCTAAAATGTACACTTCATCGGTAGAGATCTAGTCGTGAATTCGAATCTCGACCTTCAGTTGATAAAAAATGGAGAGCAACTGTTAAGCATTGACACGATTAAGATCCCTCACTGCTCAATGGCATTGAGTGCCGAGTAAAGGATAAAATTTGAAGCACATTAATATGGTAATGTATCTGCATGAGTGAAAAATTCTCCAATGATACGTAGAACATCATACAATCAATCTATAAATTACATGTATATAACTTTGAATAAATATGATTTGTATCTCTTACAGAGGATGTTGTCCTGACTATTACATGGATTATTCTCAAAATGATTGCATCCGTAAGTTCTAATATATCAGGAATAAAACGATTCTTCATTTTCTATAATCACAATTTCATTTTCTATGTTTCATGTATACAAAAATACATATTTTTTACCTTTAACATGTTTAAAGCCTGTAAAAAGGGATATTTTGGGCTCAACTGTGCTTTTCGATGTACATTGCCGTCTTACGGACGAAGGTGCCTTCTGAAGTGTAATTGTTCGAATGACAGGTGTCACTTTCAAAATGGATGTCTTCATTTTTCCACTGGTAAGGTTAAAACTACAAATGATGTCCCTTAAGGTAATGTGCTCATGTCACATTTACATTTTCAAAACAGACATTTGATTTAAAGTTCTCTAAGAAAGATTTAATCCATGTGTTTATATCTATTGTTTACATGTCTATTTCGTACTTTTCCTTTAGACAGAAAAATAAAAACAGAAAAATCAACTCATTCTCAATCCACAATTTTAGCATTTGATCCCAAATCTGAGGAAAATTTCAAACAAGGTGAAAGAAACAATAATCTTTTCTTCGTTTAATTTCGCCTGAAGTACTATTAGCAAAGATCTTTTTGTGATCGACAAATCCACGTGTTTATATTAATCGTTTACATGTCTGTTTCGTATTTTTCTCTTAGATTGAAAAATATTAACAGATCAATCAATTTCTTTTTAAATCCATGCATTCAGCGTTTGATCTCAAATCTGAGGAAAATTTCAAACAAGATGAATAAAAAAATAATCATACCTTCGTTTAATTTCGTCTGAAGAATTCTGAGCAATGTTTTTTTTTATCATGGACAGATAAATATGATATTTCGTAAACATTTTTTTTTTTCATGCGTTGGATTTATTTTTCATAATGTAATTCTGACCATAACTTACTAGTTTATTTTCAATTAATTTTTTAGATTTCATGATGTTCATTTTACATATACATGTATATTAATAATAGTCGAGATATAATTACCATAATTTCAGATGATGTCAATCAACCAAAAAGTCCTTGCTATTCAAAATACAAGAAGAAATGGACAAAGACAAAGAAATCTTTAATAACTGTTACAATATTACTTTTTGGCTTTGCTTTTTTCATGTTTGTTGCTTATTTGAAAATATGTAAAGCATTCCAGGAAAGAGGAGCACGATAAACTCAACTTAGCAAAAGGCTATCTAGAACTGAGAACATCAATATCTAATTTTTCTTTAAATTAAATGTATAATTGTGGGATCTTACTACGTATTCGTTATCAAGAAGAAAGACACAAACAGGACAGGAATCTTGAACTTTTTCTGTTAGTGACATTAAATATGCCCAAATGACCTTGGGTCAAGGTTTTAACATGAGGTCATGGACAATCTTTTTGTGAATATAGTTGATTCATATCTCCTCTTTCAGAAAGATATTGACGTTTACACAGGCCGAAAAACAGCTAGACATACGGAAAAAGTGATTCCTATATATTCCCTTTGTCTACAGGGGAATAAAAAAAGTATGCACCTAAAATGAATAAATAATTAGGAAGTGTTTTGATCTTTTTTTTATAATTAAGGAACATATTTTAAAATAGGTTGTAAAGAGATTATTCGATAAAATGTATAAGCAATTATATCTTATTTATAATATATAAGTTCATGTGCTTGAAGCTGTTATCAAAATGTAATTGTCAATATGACATGCTGTTTTTTTTAATGTAGTATTTCTTACACAATTATTTGATGACATAATACTTTGAAAACTTTCTTATCCGTGCAGTATCTTTCACTGTTAATTCCAAAGTTAAATTTTCAGTCCCATTTAAAAATTTTACATTCTCGTTATTCTATTATGATATTACATTCTGATTTAATAATATTACATTCCCATTGTACAATTCTATGTTCCCATATTTCCATTTTTGTAAAGGCTCAGTTGAGCTTTTTTGATTGAAATTTATCTGTTGTCTGTCGTTGTCATTGGCGTTGTCGTTGTAAATATGTAAACTTTAAACAATTTCATATTCTTCCCCAGTACTACTGGGCCTATTTCAACCAAACATGGCACAGAGTATCCTTGGGTGAAGGGCTTTCAGGTTTGTTAAAAATAAGGACCAATCATCCTCTAAAGGAAGATCATTACAAAATAGCAAAAAATTAATGGCATTGTTGAAAAATCTTCTTCTCAGGAACGAAAGGACCAGCAAAGATGAAACTTATGTGGAATCATTGTCCGATAGTGTAGATTCAAGTTAGTTCAAATCATGACCCCCTAGTGGTAGGTTGGACCATAATGAATGATAGAAATTTTACATAAAGGAAAAATTTGTAAACATTTTCCCCCAAAACAGCAAAGCAATCATCAGTCATATTTATATGAAAGCATTCGTAGGTGTTGTAGATCGAAGTTTGTTCAAAGCATGATCCCCGGGGGTAGAATATTCATATCTGTAGGGAAAAGCACAGTTAAAAATGAAAGCATTCCCCTTCCCCTCTTGGGACATGACCACGTATGCATTTAAGCTTGTCAATACTAAACTGATTTTTGCTTTTTTCCCCTTTAAAACAGAATACATGTATGTGCGTGGTTGTGAAATTATATCTCATGACTCTTCTTTAAAAATATTGATGGGCTTATTAGCCATCATGTAAAAAAATATGAAAATTTGATTTCGTAATTTTTCAAGTGACCTGAATAATTTTAAAATAACATCATTTATTATTCTGATACGGAAGGAAATCTCATATTAACTTCATAACTGTTATCTCTTAATAATTCAAAATTGTTGTGAACGATTTTCGCAAAAAATCAAAAAGATGATTGTTGAAAAGTTCACTTGAAAATAACTTATAGAGATAATTACAGTTCAGATTAAGTATGTATTAATTTATTCAAGAGATCTTTTTTAAATCAATTAGAATGAATTAAATCATATAGAGATAAAAACAGTATTCAATCTCATAATTCCATGAAACAATACAAAATAGGAGCAGAACATAAACGGACCTTCGAAACATCAGAGGTGGAATCAGGTTCCATGGAGGAGAATGGTGTTATTTACGATTGAACCAGCCCTATCAACACCTCCGTTACAAAGACTCTACGAATCTATTTAGTAAGGGACCTCTTCTCTGAGAGAACAATATAATTAAGTTGAAATTTGATTTTGTATTTTTTAAATGTGAACAGTACCCGTCAGTAAAATATCTTTTAATTTATTTTTTTTCATTCTGTTTAAATATTAAACAACACAAAATGTTTAAATATTAAACACTAAGTAAACACAATGAGTTTTAAATAAAATGTTTTCAATATTTTCATTTGAAAAAATCATAAACAGTACAAAACACCATGGGCGCTTGGTTTCAGGATGGTGTATTTTGTGTATTCAATGTTTTTCTAGGTGTGTCTGAATACCCTCATTTAAATAAAAATAAAAATTTGCTGAAATTAGCTGGTTTTAAAAATGTCATATTTACTGCACATGTATGACCAATTTTAAACAGTAAATACGACATTTTTAAAACGTGCTACATATAAAAACACAAAATGCAGAATTTTAACCAAGTGAAGACCTTTTCCAATTTTGACCTTCTGTAAAGGACTACTTCATTCAAATTCAAAGAAATTATATAAGTGTACATAGTGTTCACTAAAATTTTCAAATGTTCATGTACTTGCAGGAGCAGCCCAACAGCAAAACATAAGAGAAAGGGGGAGGGCACTACCTTGTCCTAAGGCATTTTTTATCATATAAACAACACACTCTCTCAAAAAAGTAAAGTCTCCTGAAAGAATACATGTGTGCTACATTGAGATGAAAGTTTTGTTGGTCATGCGCAATTGTAGTAGTGTTTCATGTTAGGAAGGATAAATCTTAGTTTGAGCAGGGTTCACTGTTATAAAACATGCTTAAGTCTGAGAATGCCCTCAAGTCTGAGAATTTTCTCAAATCCAAAATTCTCAAACTCAGCGGCCATCATAAAAAAGTTGAGAAAAATAAAAATACATTTAACTCTTTAATTCTCAAATTCTCAGCTGTGTAATTCTCAAGATTTGAGTTGAGAATTTCTTTTGAGAATTCTCAAAGTTTTATGACGGTGGACCCAGATTCCTAACTGGATTACATTTTTCAGGAATCAATGGTATATGTGTGGGGGGCTGGGGATTGGTTGACCTTTTTTTGAGACTCACCTCTCTAAGTATGATCTTCGTTTAATATCCCTTTCCTTTATCAAGTGATATAATATAAGAAGACTATTTTGGTAATTTTCATTGGCTGAAAGGACGTCACGTGATATTCCTCCTTTCGTGATAACGACGCGGTAGCGCGTCGGCGGAAAAAGATAACACACGACAGTGCTCTGTTGCATTGAAGTTACGTAAAACTTGACGTCATAGTATGAGAAGCGTGTGTTTAGCTATTGTGACGTAATGACAGCCGAGTCTGTTTTGTTAGGACTGTGTCAGTGAAATCACTTTGGGTGATTATATAATATACACAAGATGAAACTCACCCTTTAAGTCCGGTTTAATGGTGGCTTATAGGTCTTTAATGGTGGTTTAATGGTTGTCTTTAAGTCACCATTAAGCACCTTTAAGTAACATTTACACCACCATTAAGTTACCATTAAGCCAGTTTAAAGTCCTTAATGGGCGCTTAAATGTAGCTTAATGGTAGCTTAATGGTGGCTTACAGGTCCTTAATGGTAACTTTTAGACCACCATTAAGTCACCATTAAGTTACCATTAAGCTAGACCTACAGGTGCTTAATGTCCAAAACTCCATTAAGCTACCATTAAGCTACCATAAAGCCACCATTAAGTCACATTACGCAGTCGATGATATTGTTTATATGGGTAAAAAATTATTTTGAAAGTGATTTGTTATCAATGTTATAAATGTAGAATTCGCACATATCTTGATTTAGTAAAACTAATGAAAAAGAACGAAATTCGAAATTCAAAACAAAAAAAAACAAAAAAACGGCACTGACAGGGCGCGATCCCATGACCTTAGGGTTGCAAGGCGAACGCTTTATCCATTAGGCTATCGCCACTCTTGTTTACAAAGGAATATATTAAATATTTTAAGTTTTTTTTTTCTAAATTGGTTTGGACTTGTAAAAGTATTTACTAGTATTTTGTTGAACGTTTCCAAAAGTCTAGAATTTATTTATTAATCAAATTATGAACAATTTTATTTGTGGATCTTTTTGAAAGGGCTATTGTCTGGCCAGTCGGTGTACTGTACACTGATAATCTGTTAAACTTACCCCGTTTCTCAGTGTGTATATGTGGTCGGATGTCATGTTTACAGGCTTAGTCTGATCGGCTGTTCTTCTGAAAATCGATTTTGAAATAACAATCATTGAAGACCGACTAGATTTTGACAGATACTTACCGCTGTATTTAAAAAAAAATAACGAATTAATTAAAATTATCCATGATGTAAAAGCAGGGACCTATATAGGTCCCTGGTAAAAGTCAATCTTTGAAAACTAAACATTTGTATACCAGTAACCCCCCTCCTCCCCCCCCCCCCCCCTAAAAAAAATTAAATACAACGATTTTTTATGAGATTATATGACTTAAAGTTTTATTCCCGTGAATTCTCTGGCGGAATGTTTCTTTTAACACATGAAATGTAAACACCATTTTTTAAAAAAAAAAGTAATATGTATTTTGTGTTCATGGATAAAGATAATTTTAAGAACAAATTGGTTTGGGTATTGAAAATTTAAGATATTTCACAAGGACTTGTAATAATTATTTATTTTTAAAAATCATATACACTAAAAATAAAAACAACGCATGTAATAATGATTTATTTAAAAAAAGATAATAGTATACGGTACTGACAAAGGATGTCTTGTTTTATTATCATTGTTAATGATTGAAAAAAAAATAATTGTTAGACTCTGGGAGCAAGTCCCTGTGGCTATTAGCTAACAACTTTGTTCTCAGTGAACAAGTTTTTGCATGTTGTCAAAAAACTCGTAGAAATTACGATCGAGACAAAATTATGATTTGAAATAGATTTTGCGTAAATGATATTAAAACAACTAAAAGTTAGTTCAAAGATTCTGTATATGATGCTTAAAAGTTTATTGAGGTTTGACCATTAAGTCACCATTAAGTTCAGCTTAATGGTGGCTTAATGGTAGCTTAATGAAGGTTGGACATTAAGCACCTGTAAGTTGCAGCTTAATGGTGGCTTAATGATGGCTTAAAGGAATTAACTTCTTTAAGCCACCATTAAGTCACCATTAAGCTACCATTAAGCGATTGCTTAAAGGTGGTCTTTCGTCTTGTGATTACTATTATGGACTTCAGTGAACGGTCAATATGTGGTTATAAGGACTCATGTCAGTTGATATTGACCTCAGACACAGAAAATAATAGCGACCTCGCAGGCTCGGTCGCTATCACTTTCTGTGTCTTCGGTCAATATCAATTGCCATTATAGTCCTTATACGAGGGCTGTTCAATAAATAATGTCCTGAACTGTATGACATACAATACAGATATCATATGACATTAAAATTGGCTTTCTC